TGAGCCAAACCGGCTTTAGCCAAAATGGCTACGGAGGAGGAAGAGGAGGAAGATGTATAGTTCCAAGTCAGGACTAGATTGCTGAATATTGTGGCGAGTTGGGAGCCTTTGGGTTCTATCCTGGGTTTTCTTGGGCCCTATTCGGCTTTCCTTGGGACGTCAACGAAGTGTCGTGGGACAGCTCGGTACTGTCGTCGCTATTATAACGAAGAAAATGCGTATGGGATCTTTGAGCCGAGCTGCTTCTCTCTTAGGGATTGTCTCTTAGGACTCTTGTGTGGCTCGCTTGCGGATAGGGACCAAATTTGAAAAAGCTGTGGAAGGGAAGAGTACCGCCACCGTGCCTGGGTTGCGGGTCAGAGGCCTGTTGCATGCATGTTCGCGTATCTTGGGAATCCTCTGGGGAGCATCTTGGAAGCATGTTTTGAAGCCTCTTGGGCCTCGGAGGGGCCGTCTGGAGGCCTCTTCGAGGTTATTTAGGGCGTCCTCGGGGCATCTTGGGGGCTTCTGGGGGGCCTGCCGGCAGCCTCCGTGGCACCCTGTAGGCGGAGAGCTCGAGAAGTGAGTTCGTGTGCCTTGTGGGCCGTCTTCACCCTCTCGTGGGCAGCGTTGACGCCTCACTGGGGGGGCCCATTTGGCAGCCTTCTGGAGCAGCTGGGCCGTCTTTCATTAAAAGAAGAAGAAAGGCCATAAACACAAACTTTTGGCGCTCCGCGCGGAGTTCTTGGACCTGAGCTGGACCCCCCTCCCTGGCGCGCGGAGCGCGCCAGGGGGGGCGCCGGAGGCGCCGCCAAGGGGGCCCAGCGCGGATCCGAGAAATCCGCGCGGAGGGCCAAAAGTTTATGTTTATGGCGGTTTTCCTTACTCGAGTCTTGGAGCTGTGAGGACCAAAATGGTGAACGCGCTAGGAATAGGACGATGTGGGCTTCCAGGGGCCCTCTTCGGGGGGCTCCTGGAGCTGGGCCTTCTGGGGGGGCCCCGTTAGCCGTCGTGACGTCATCTGGAGCGGTCTTGGAGTGCTCTTGGGGCGCTCTCGGTAAAGGGGCCCAGGGACACACAAATAAATAAACACTAATCCCAGGATTCTGGATATTTCCCCATATTTTCTCCATGTTCGTCATCCCCCCCAAGTCCCATATTTTCCCATAGCCTCCTGGGGATCGACGATTAATTGTGTCTGTGTTTTTCCCCTCCTGACACTCGGGTCGTCTTGGAGGCCTCTTGGGCTGTATGGAAGCCTTCGTGGGTGTTCTTGGAGCGCTCTCGGGGCCGAAAACGGGCCCTGGGCCCTGGGGGCCAAATTCGGTTGCGCAGGGGGGTGGACTCGTCTGTCATTCTGTCCCGCAGGGGGGCTGGGGGGACCCAACACTCCGACATGATATATACATATATACGTATACAAACACCAGAGAACTAACGCGCGAGAGAAAGAGAGAGAGAGAGAGAGAAAGAGAGGGAGAGAGATATATAGAGAGAGGTGAGCAGGACGACAGCAGAGTAGGAGCACGATGAAGGCATCATGGAAACGGCGCGGTGAGGAGGAGGCGCAGCAGCAGATGGGGCCACAAACAGCCGCGGCAAGAGAGCAAAGAAGAGATGCTCTGAGAGCCAGCCGGAGCAATCGGGCCTCATCAGCGCCAGCCCGCAGGAGTTCGGCGAGTTCTGTCGGGCGGAGGGGGGAGCGCAGGGGGGAGAGGACGATGAGGAGCAGCACAGCACTGGAGCCCGTGAGGCTCTCGAAATTCCCTATGGCCTGCGGGCCGCAGCCCCTGATCCAGACTGAAGGAAGAACGAGCCTCTGACCGAGTAGGACCCAGAAGGATCTACCAGTACTAACTACGCGCCGTCTTCAGAGGCGCCCGTCCGAAGCAAACATGCATCACAAGCATGTTATAGCATGTCGTTTCCCCGGCGGTGTAGCCAGAAAGCGCCCGCCACGCAGCTGATCCTGTTCTCGGCGCGCGCGTCGTCCCTGCGGGGGACGACGCACACATACAGCCGGACAGAGGGCAGAAGAATATCCTTCGAGAGCATGAGACCCTCCGCCGGACAAGCTGAAGAACATTCGAGGGTACCTTCCCCCAGGATGCGTAAGAGCATCCAACATACACGAAGAATCTTGGGGTACCCTCCCCGAACCAGTCTCGATCTTAGACCTCGGTGTAGTACAAGTGTGTTGGGTTGATGCCGAAAGAGAGTGAGGAGCAGCACGGCACTCGAGCCCATCAAGCCGTCCAGGAGTCGCTCGAAAGAGTCGCGGGGCTCGGGTTGGGGCGGAAAGAAACCTTTGCTCTGAAACCCACTCGTCGTTCTGCCTGCTGGCAAGCATGCTCCTACATCTGTCTGCTTGGAGATGGACGAGGAGGAGGAGGAGGAGGAGGAGAAGAACCAGGGGTCACCACCTTCTAGAACCCTCGTGGGGTGGGTGGGTGCGGGGCGGGGGGGCCAAACCCGCCAAAAGAGGTTCTCGGTGGCGCTGGTCTCTGTCTCGCCGCATTGAAGCCGCGGGCGGAGCGAACCTGGAAAGAGGAACTGAGAGCTCGTCGGGAAAGGCTAAGTCGAAGTATGACTGTCCGCCGAGCCACCTCAATCCAACCCGAAGTCGCCGTTCGGCCTGCCAGTTCTCAGTGGGGGGACGTCCTAAAACATCGAGAGAACACTGTGGAACCCGCTCCCCAAACCGAAATTCTGTGGGGTCTGTTGTCTTAGGGCTAGGTTGGGGTGGCTTGGCATGTGATGAGAGTAAGCCCAGACGGAGGCCGAGCACTCCGTAAAGTCTTTCTCCGCACGCATAGGTCGAGTCCAGACGGGGTATAAGCCCAAACAGAGGCCGAACAGTCCGCACAGACGGAGACCGAGCACCCCGCACGGACTTCCTCCGCTCGGACTTAGCATCCTCCGAGCTCGGAGCTCAGATGTCCGCGGAAGGGCTCCAGCCCGGGGACATTGCTGGGGGGGAAAGGGAGCGCGGCACACGCGGCAGGCTGTGATCAGGCCGAGGAGGAGGTAGTGGCCGACGACGACCGACGACGACGACGACGACGACGACGAGGACGAGGACGAGGACGAGGACGAGGACGACGACGACGACGACGACGACGACGACGACGACGAGAACGACGAGGTTCAGCTGGAGGAAGACCACCAGACCCACCAGCAGGAGGGGTGCGCTCAGGGAGCAGGGGGGCTCACAAACGAGAGGGGTCGGCAGAGGGGATCGGGGAGACGATCGGAAGACAATGGCCTGATCCGGAGACCGTCGACGGGAAGGACAGGAGAACAAGAAGGAGGAGGAGGCGCAGGAGCAAGGAGAGGCAGGGAAAGAACGGAGAGGAGCAACGCCAGGCAGCAGCCAGCAGCAGCACGACGAGCAGGAGAAGCCTCCTCCTCCTCCTCCTCTTCCTCCTCCTCGTCCTCGTCCTCGTCCTCGCCCTTCTCTCCTCGCGTTCTCCCGTCTCGGTTGTTCAACATGGCGCTCGCGCGGCCGCGCGACGGCCGTGGAAGGGCCGCGCCCGCCCTGGGGATTGGCCAGGGCCTTACCCTCCAGCCAGAAACTCCTAGTCGTCCTCATCTTCCTCCTCCTCCTCCTCCTCCTCCTCCTCATCATCATCATCATCATCATCATCATCAGCAGCAGCAGAATCATTATAATTATCATCAGCAGCAGCATAAGCATTATCATTATCAGCACCATCATCAACATCAACAGCATCACCACCACCACCACCTTCATCATCATCATCATCATCATCATCATCATCATCAGCATCATCATCATCATCATCATCATCATCATCATCAGCAACATCATCATCATCATCATTATCAGCATCATCATCATCATCATCATCACCATCACCAGGTTCATCAGCATCATCACCAAGATCACCATCATCATCAGCATCAGCATCAGCATCAATGTCATCATCATCCTCATCATCAGCATCATCAGCACCATCATCATCATCATCATCATCATCATCATCAACAACATCATCATCAACATCATCAGTATCATCATCAGCACCCTCATCATCATCATCCTCACAACCACCACCAAAAGCAGCAGCTGCAGCAGCATCATCAGCATCATCATCATCGTCATCGTCACCCTCATCATCCTCATAATCATCATCATCATCAGCAGCAGCATCATCATCGGCATTAGCATCATCAGCATTAGCATCATCATCAGCATCAGCATCAGCATCATCACCAGGTTCATCAGCATCATCATCATCATCAGCATCATCAGCATCATCAGCAGCATCATCATCCGCATAATCATCATCATCATCATCATCAGCAGCATCATCAGCATCAGCATCATCATCAGCAGCATCAGCATCATCAGCATCATCAGCATCATCATCATTGCTATCATCGTCGTAAGCATCATCAGCATCAGCATACTCATCAGCAGCAGCATCATCCTTATCATCATCGTCAGCATCATTAACAGCAGAATCAGCATGATCATCAACATCATCAGCAGCAGCAAGAGCATCATCATCATCGGCAGTCAGATTATCATCATCGTCATCAGGATTATCAGCATCATCATCATCATCATCACCATCATCATCATCATCATCATCATCATCATCCATCCGCATCATCATCAGCATACTCAGCATCATCATCAGCAGCATCATCGTCACCATCATCATCAGCATCATCATCATCAGCAGCATCATCATCCTTATCATCATCAGCATCATCAGCATCATCATCATCAGCATCATCATCAATCAGCAGCAGCATCATGAGCATCATCATCATCACCACCATCATCATCATCATCATCATCAGCATCATCATCATCATTGTCATCATCATCAGCATCAGCATCAGCAGCAGCATCATCGCCATCAACATAATCAGTATCATCATCAGTAGCAGCATCAACATCATCGTCATCAGCAGCAACAGCATCATCAGCATCAGCATCATCAGAATCATGGTCACCCTCATCATGTGCATCATCATCAGCATCATCGTCAGCATCAGCATCATCGTCAATGGTATCATCACCACCATCATCAGCGTCATCACCATCATCCTCAGCACCATCAACATCATCAACAGCATCAGCATCATCATAATTATCATCTGCAGCAGCAGCGTAATCAGCATCAACATCAGCAAAAGCAGCATCACCAACAGCATCATCAGCATCATCACCACAATCATCACTAGCAACAGCAACATTAGCATGATCACAATCATCATCCTCATCATCATCCTCAATTTCATCATCATCTTCTTCTTCATCATCATAGGATCCTAATCCGCATCATCCTCATCCTCGTCCTCATCATCCTCATCCTCACCACCACCAACAACATCATCACCACCACCACAATCATCAGCAGCAGCAGCATCAGCATCGTCGTCCTCTTCCTAATCCTCCTCCTCATCCTCATCCTCGTCCGGATCCTCATCCTCGTCCTCGTCCTCGTCCTCGTCCTCGTCCTCGTCCTCGTCCTCCTCCCTCCTCCCTCCCCCCTCCATCCCTCCATCCCTCCCTGCCTCCTGCGCGCCCGGACCTTCTCCACGTAATCGCCGGGGGAGAGGCTCAGCACCCTGTCCCCGATGATGAAGCCGAGCTCCGGCAGCTCGTGGAAGTTCTGCGGTGCGGGCTGCTTCTTCCGCCGTGGCCGAGAGGCCGAAAAGGGCAAAGAGGAGAGAAGGAGAACGCCAAGAGGTTCCCTCCTCCTCCTCCTCCTCCTCCTCCTCCTCCTCCTCCTCCTCCTCCTCCTCCTCCTCCCCCCTCCCTCCCTGCCTCCCTCCCTCCCTCCCTCCTCCTCGGATGCGCATCACGTGACGCATCCAAAGTGAGGGAGGACGTGAGAGAGGGGGGAGATGATTCGAAGTTCGACCACACGATCAGAAAAGGAGCCGGGACCCTCAAGCAAGTGGGCAGCTGCGGCATGGCGGCCTGGCGGCCTCGTGGGGCCTGTGGCCGATCTATCGGGGGCCTCGAGCGTGCGGATCTACCATCGGGGGCCTGTCGCCGATCCGTCGGCAAGGCGTCGCCAATTTCAAGTCGATGCTTCCGCCCCGAGCTGGTCCTCCGTTCCTTGTCGCCTGGTTTACGGGTCATAACTCGGTTCTCCTGCGGCCCTGAGGGACGGTCCGGGCACCCCCGGACACCCCTCAGTGAGGCGCAGCCGCTGGAAGGCCACCCCGTGGCAGGAAAGCCGTCCAGTACCGACGAAAAACGCCCAGAGACCTGAAAAAATGTCTCCGACCTCGACCCGCGATTGGCGGTCGATGCATCCCCAGACGCCCCTCGGTGAGGCGCAGCCGCTGGAAGGCCACCCCCGTGGCAGGAAAGCCGTCCAGTGCCGACGAAAGCGCCCAAAGACATGAAAAAATGTCTCCGACCTCGACCCGCGATTGGGGGTCGATGCATCCCCCCTGAGCCGGTCCCCCCCGAACTGTTCCCCCGAGGGGAAGGGAGGGGAGGGGGGGGAGGGGAGCAAAGGGGCGGGGACAAAAGGGAACGAGGGGAGGCCGCTCATGGGGGACCGCTGCCGAGGGGCCGAGGGGCAAGAGGAGTAGGAGGGCGGGCCGTCGTCTAGAGGAGGAGGAGGAGGAGGAGGAGGAGGAGGAGGAGGAGGAGGAGGAGGAGGAGGGCGACAAGAGGAAGAGGAGAGGAGGAGGAGGAGGAGGAGAAGGAGGAGGAGAAGGAAGAGGAGGAGGAGGAGGAGGAGCGCCAAGAGGAGGAGGGAGGAGGGAGGAGGAGGAGGAGGAGGAGGAGGAGGAGGAGGAGGAAGCGGAATGAATGAATCACGCATGGAGTCCTATCCTGACCTCTGCTTGACTGTCGGGCTGCTCAGATCTGACAGACATCGAGAGAGCCAAGGACTCCGAGTCGGGTTGCTTAACTGCACGCACCCCCCCCTTACCACTACAAGCTTGACCAGCGCGCTCCGCCAGAGCGGCACAGGCCGGCCTGGTCCCCCTGAGGTCTCCGACCCTTCCCTGCTCCCCTGTTCTTCCCAATCGACCCCCACCTTGAGGGTGATCAGCCGGGGAACGTTTCGCCCACAATCGGGCGGGGGAAGGAGAGGGGCCAGCAGGATTCCAGCCCTTTCCTCCGCCTCCTCCTCCTCCTCCTCCTCCTCCTCCTCCTCTTCCTCCTCCTCCTCCTCCTCCTCCTCCTCCTCCTCCTCCTCCTGCTCCTCTTCCTCTATCAAGGGTCGTGTTGTCGTTGTTTTTGTTGTGCAGTGTCTCTTGCGTATCTCTCTCTCTCTCTCTCTCTGAGCGTGCGTCCACCGCGGCATCCTCATCGGAAACTCGAACAAAACAGGGCTAGAAGAGAGTGGAGGAACGGAGGGGAGGGAGTGATGAAGCCCCGTGGAGGCAACTCCTGGGAGATCTTCGTAAGAACGATCCAGGGCCAGCAAGCCCGATTGTTGGAGGCTTGGAAATGGGCACCAACACCAACACAGGGGGGTGCCTCCGCAGGGGGAAGATGATACTAGAGTTTGGTGTTAGTGGTAATCTTTCGGCCACCTAGGAAGCCAGAATATTACCACCATCACCGAGATCGGGATACTCTTGCCTCGGTGGAGGCACACCGCCGATACTGGTGTTGGTGTCAACCTCTAAGCCTTCGCCGATTGAGGGGCCACTGGGCCAGAACAGGCCGGAATGAGCCCAAGACTCAGCCGGATTGCGCAGGATTCAGCGGCGATGCGCTGGATGAGGCCCGCCTTCGACTACGGATCTACGGATGTACAGTCATGGCACTACCCTTAGATCGGGCGCAAGTCCTCATAGAGGCGAAGTTTGGACGAAAAAACAAAAATAGTCAACAAATGATCAAACATTATCAAAAATAGTCCCAATGAATCATAAAACATAGCTCCCTGACTATATCTTCCTGTTTGTGCGCACTCCTCCTGTAGAGGGACGTGCCCGCCTTCAGAGGTGCTACCAATAGGGAACGCCGAACAAGGGAACGAAGGGGCGTCCCGAGCCACGGCGAGCCTCGGCCACCCACAGGCTCCACGGCACACACCTCAGGAGCGGCCCGAAGAAACCCGAAGGCCCCTCCTGATTGGCGGCGCGCAGAGGGGGGGGGTAGGGGGAGGAGGAGGAGGAGGAGGAGGAGGAGGAGGAGGAGGAGGAGAGGAGGGGGAGGAGGAGGAGGAGGGAGGAGAGGAGGAGGAGGAGGAGGAGGAGGAGGAGGAGGAGGAGGAGGAGGAGGAGGGGAGGGGGAGGAGGAGGGGAGGAGGAGGGGGGAAGGCCTCTTAGAGAAGGAGGCTGCTTCTTAGAAGGCGCCAGCCCTACATCTATAGAGAAGGCCCGCGCCTTCTAAGAAGCAGGGGTGCTTCGAAGACGCCCTCACCCCTCCCCCCACCCCCCTCTGCGCGTGGCTGATGATTGGCGGCGCGCAGAGAGGGAGCAGGGGGGGAGGGGGGAAGGCCTCTTAAAAGGAGGCTGCTTCTCAGAAGGCGCCGGCCACCAACAGGCTCCACGGCACACATCTCAGGAGCGGCCCGACAACCCGAAGGCCCCTACGGATTTGGCGGCGCGCAGAGGGGGGGCGAAAAATGAAGAAAATAATCGAAAAAAACATGAAAGCCAAAAATAGTCAAAAGAATCGTCCCTGAACGGTTTTTGGACTATTTCTGAAAATTCCTCCTGTAGAGGGGCAAGCCCGACTTACGGGTAGGGGAGGGGGGAAGGCCTCTTAGAAGAAGGCTGCTTCTTAGAAGGCGCCGGCCTTACGTCTGCAGAGGAGCCTAGAGAAGGAATCGAACAGGGCAGGGCTGTTTAGAAAACACCCAGGGCCGTTGAGGAGGGGCAACGATATGGTGGGACTGGCATAGGGGGGGAACATCGACCTGGAGTCGGCGATAGATCGCCGATAGATCGGCGATAGGCCCCCGATCGTGAATCCGCACCTTCCTGGGCGGGGTGGGGCTATCGGGCCCCTATCGGCGATCCATGGGCGATTGGGGGTCGTTGCATCCCCCCCTGTGCCTGTCCCTCCCTATGGTTGCCCCCGAGCATAGTAAACGCCAACTACCGGGTCGGGGTGGGTTTTCCTCCTCTGGGAGAAGGCCTGCCCCCTCTCATCTCCCCCCCGAGTTTAGTAAACGCCAATTATCGGGTCGGGGTGGTTTTTCCTCCTCTGGGAGAGGGCCTGCCCCCTCTCATCTCCCCCCGGGCGCGTCGCCGACGTGCAGCATCGATCTGCGAAGAGCCCGCCATCCCCCCGTTGGGCCATCCCCCCGCGAGGGCAGGAGAGCCCAGGATCGGATCGACAAGTCGGATCGGCGATCGACATGAATCGGATCGTGGGAAATCGGCAGTTGAGTCGGGAAAAGTCGGATCGGCAGGAATCGGCAGGCTAGTATGCCTCCAATAAGAAATCGGAACTCAAATCGGAATCCCAGATCGAATCGAATCGGAATCGGAAACCATCGAAATCGAATCGAATCGAATCGGAGGAATCGAAACGAGCCCTGCGAGGGCCCCGTTCTGCATGCTCTGCGCGCGCGCAATCCCGCCGTCGGGGCCCCGTCGGAGCCTGCCGACGCCGAGGCGAGGGATGGCGAAGGATTGCAAAAAAAAAAAAAACGGAAGGATTGCAAAAACCGAAGGATTGCAAAAAAAAACCGAAGGGATTTGTTTTGCAATCAAAGGTTTGCTTTGGTTTTTTTTTTTGCAATCCTTCGGTTTTTTTTTGCAATCCTTCGTGGCCAGCGGATGACGGGCGCCCGGCCGTCTCGCACACCCTGGCGGCCGCGGGCTCCAAAAAAGCGTTAAAAGAAGCGGGCCGGCGGCGCCCCGCCTCTCTCGACGCTCATCGAATACTTTCGGCGGGCCGCGCGGACTCCTCGGATCTGCGCTGGACCCCCGCTCCCTGTCGGGAGCGGCCAAGAGGGGGGTGTCCAAGAGGGGGGGGTGCAAATCATGGCCGGCGGCATGTGCGCGGCCCAGCTGGGGGGGCCAGGGACGTAACGAAACAAGAAGAGGCGCCATGAAATCTGGGGAGATATCATGGCCCCCGCCGTGATATCCACCCCCCCCTAGTCGTCACCCCCCCCCCTTTTCCGATCCCGCGACCCCTCCCCGGCGCGCGGAGCGCGCCAGGGTCAGCGCCGGAAGCGCCGCCAGGGGGGACTGAGCGCCATGAAATCTGGGGAAAAATCATGGCCCGCGCCATAAAATCCACTCCCCCCCTAGTCATCACCCCCTTGGTTGGCGTTAAAAATGGTCTGGGCATTTTTTCACCATTTCCAGCTCGGCATATTGAAAATCATGTTTCTAACATTTTTAGATCTCGACATAAAAATTAGAAATGCTAAAAAAATGAATCATTTTTATTTCATTGCCGCCCCCTCTTTACCGCCCCCGACCCCTCCCCGGCGCGCGGAGCGCGCCAGGGTCAGCGCCAGCGCCGGAAGCGCCGCCAGGGGGGACTGAGCGCCGATCCACGGGGACCCGCGCGGAGCTCTGCACATTTGCTTCCTTCTTGCCGTCCTTCCTCGAGGAGGGCAGGAGGAGGAGAGGGAGGAGGAGGAGGAGGAGGGTCGTCAAAGAGGGGAGGAGGAGGAGGAGGAGGAGGAGGAGGAGGAGGAGGAGGAGGAGGAGAGGAGGAGGAGGAGGGAGGAGGGGGTAGGAGGGGCAGGAGGAGGAGGGCAGGAGGAGGAGGAGGAGGGAGGAGGAGGAGGAGGGTCGTCAAAGAGGGGAGGGGAGGGGAGGGGACGGGAGGGGACGGGAGGGACGGAGGCCCGAAGGAGAGCGAGGAGGGAGAGGGCGGGGGGGGAGGAGTGGGCTGGGGTAAAGGGGCAGGGGAAGCAGCAGGCAGAGAGGCGGGACGCTCCCCAGAACGGGAGGCGGAGCGCTCCCCGCAATCGTGCTGCACGTCCAGGATGCCCTCAATCTTGTCGACGAGGGACGACGGGCCCGCCAGCTGGGAGGTCCCCGTGTCCACTGCCACGCGGCAGTCCTGGAGAAGCAGGAGTGCCGCGCGCGGCTACCGGGACGCCCGTGTTGGGGGCCTGGGAAATGGCACCGACAGCAACACAAGGGGGGGGGACTCCGACTGGGGAAGATGATCTTGGATGTGGGTTCGGGTGGTAATCCATCGGCCAGCGAAGGAGCCTGACTCTAACCACGATCACCGAGATCAGGATCATCGTCCCTCGGTGGAGGCAACCGCCGATACGGTCGGACCTAGGACAGAAGAACATCTATCCTTCAAGCACCCTTCGCCAGCCAAAACACACACAGAACATCTAAGTGTACTCCCCAGAATACACAAGAACATCCAACAAACACGAAAAACATTAGGGTACACTCCCCGAACCGACCTCGATCTTACAACTCGGTCCGACCGTAGTGGTGTCGGCGCCCACCTCCAGACATCCGAATGGGGACGCTTCATCGCCTCCTCCGCACGCGCGCCTGGCCGAGGTGCCGGGGATGAGCGATGCCGTGCGCCCCCAGCAGCGCCACTTCGCCCGCAAGAGGGGGATGCAGCACTGGTGCCATGCATTCGGCGGCGAGCGAGGGGGGGAAGTGAGATCTGGCCTTCTGCAAAAGTTGTCTCTGTCTCCATGGAGGCTTAGGAACTTCTCTGAAGGCCTCTGCACTTCCGAGCCCTCTGAGGAGGCCCGCCCCTTGTTACTACCCCCCTGGGCTCGTCGCCGAGTAAGACATGCAGTAGACAGGGTCCGCAGCATGATTGCCATCAACTGCCTGAGAGCAGGGAGGGGTAAGAAGAGAGGACGATGACGAGGAGGATGGAGGAGGGAGGGAAGCACAGCCAACCAAGCAGGTCTTTACTGAAACCGCCCCTTCTCACTTCCCCCGCGGGCTCGCCACCGAAGACATGGATGGGGCTGTGTCTTCCCCCCAGGGGTTTGTGGCAGATGGCCAGACGTTCCGCCCAGTTGTTCGTTCTTGACTGTCCTCATCATCATCATCATCATCATCATCATCATCATCATCATCATCATCATCATCGTCATCGTCGTCGTCGTCGTCGTCGTCGTCGTCATCATCATCATCATCATCATCATCATCATCATCATCATCATCATCATCATCATCATCATCATCATCATCATCATCATCATCATCATCCCTCAGGTCCCAGTCTCGTCATAGCGACGACGACGACGACGACGACGACGACGAGGGGCTGATCCGGCAGCCCCGCCCCATGGCGGTCCTCGCAGATGCCCTGCTTCTCGCTGTCGACGGTGATGTCCTCGATCTGGACCTCCCAGTATCCGACGGTGCCTGCGCGAGGCCGAGGATGGGGCGTCGTCCTCCTCTTCCCCCTGGTTTTCCTCCTCCTCCTCCTCATCATCATCAGCAGCAGCATCATCAGCATCATCATAATCAGCATCATCATCATCCTCATCCTCATCCTCCTCATCATCATCAGCATCAGCATCAGCATCAGCATCCTCGTCAACATCCTCATCATCATCATCATCAGCAGCATCATCATCATCATCGACATCAGCATCAGCATTAGCATCCTCATAATCAGACTCATCAGCATCATCATCATAAACAGCAGCAGCAGCAGCTTCAACATCATCATCAGCGTCATCAGCGTCATCGGCATCCTCATCATCATCCTCATCATCCTCCTCATCATCATCATCATCATCATCATCAGCATCATCATCATCATCAGCGGCATCATTCATATCATGATCCGAATCATCACCATCATCAGCAAATTCATCACAAACAGCAGCAGCATCATCAGCATCATCATCAACACAATCACCAGTACCATCATCAGCATCATCGTCATCATCATCGGCATCATCATCAGAATCATCATCAGCATCATCATCGGCATCATCAGCAGCAGCAGCAGAGCAGCAGCAGCAGCAGAGCAGCAGCAGCAGCATCATCAGCATCATCATCATCAGCAGCAGCATCATAGGCAGCATCAGCATCAGCAGCAGCAGCATCATCGTCATCGTCATCGTCATCATCATCATCATGATAATCATCATCATGATAATACTGATGATAAGCAGCAGAAGCTTCATCATCATCAGCATCAGCATCATCAGCATCATCAGCATCATCAGTATCATCAGCATCATCAGCATCATCAGTATGCCAAGCATCATCCGAATACTAACAATACTAGGCATACTGATAAAAATAGTAATAAGAATAAAATCAATAGTAGTAAAAATAATCAGCATCATCGTCATCATCATCAGCATCATCATCAGCATCATCATCAGCAGCATCAGCATCATCACCGTCAGCATAATCAGCATCATCATTATCAGCATCATCAGCAACAGCATCAGCATCATCATCAGGACCACATCATCATCAGCAGCATCAGCGTCATCATCATCATCATCACAATCAGCATAATCATCACCGTCACCACCATCACCATCACCATCATCATCACCATTATCATCAGCATCAGCATCCTCATCATCAACATCATCTCGTCTGATCATGCATCGTCCTCCTTTTCCTCCCGTTCCCCCGTTCCTCCACGCGCCGGTATTCCTTCCACTCCACCACGCCTTCGGCACGTAGCGGAGTGCCCCATGCAGGTTTGAGCGCCGTCGAGCTTGCAAGAGTCCTAGAGGCTCGGACCACCGACGCGCAAGAATTCGGTGGCACTCTTGGCGTTTCCAGCGTCTCTCGCAGGGGGCCGCGGGCAACCAAGCCCGCCTCCAAAATCCCCCGAGGAACCAACCAAACAACGGCCCCAAAAGCTCGGGAACCCTCGCTGGCTTGGGAACCGTCATGGGGCTCTCCTGGTGGCCTCCTTGGAGACTACGGTCGCTGGAACAACCTGCGGTTTTTGCGTTCGGTTCTCTTTCGGTCCTGAGAGCGTGTCCAAGATGGCCCACCAGCCCCGCAGGAGAGTCGCAGGACGGCTATGAAAGCAAAAAGACAGCCACCAGAGGCCCCGTAAATCCGCGGCGAGCGAGGGGGGAAGAGAGAAAAAGAAGGCCCTCTCAGAAGGTTCGGAAGCCCTCCGGCCTTGTGAGAAGTGTTCTAAGCCTTCCCCGAGGACAAAAAAGACTTCTCAGAAGGCGCGAGGGCTTCTGAGAAGTTCCGCCGCCTTCTGAGAAGGCCTTCTCTTTCTCAATCCCCCCCCCTCGCTCGCCGCGGAGTAAAACAGGCCCAAGAGCCGTCCACGGGACCCCCAAGGGTGGCCCAAGCGGGCGAACTCGAAGGGGCCATCGGGGCCCTACATCGTGAGATGGCCTGGACCGCCCTCAGTCCCCAAGGGGACCCCTAGAGGTCGCCAGGAGGCTCTCAGGAGGCCCCCAAGAGGCTCCCCAGAGGCCCCTGGAGAGGCCTTGCAACAGACGCCAAGAGACAGTTAAGCAAGCTATTGTCCACGACCCCACCACGGTGGCGGGATGGGCCGAAGGCTACCAGAGTTATGAATACTCCCCTTTCTGCCACCTGCAAGGCCGATAGCAGCTCAATCCAGAGTAGTCCATCCCGCCCATCAAGAAACAGTACGAATTCGACGTTTGTTCTGTCAGCCTGGACGTATTGGGCGTCGACGGTTCCCACACGCAGCAAGGGAAGGACGCGGGACGCGGCGCACACCGCTCGCGAGAGAGCGAAATGTCGCTCGCGCCCCAACGCCGGAGACATGTTCCTGAAAATTCAGCTCCCACTTGGGAGCGGAGCATCTGTCTCGCCAGACGATTCGTCTGCAGCGGTCATTAGGAGACCTTATTACCCATGGGTCGGAAGAAGTAGGTAGAAACATGAAGTAGGAAGGCGCTGACAGTAGATTGGGTGTCCGCACGCCCCCTAAGGAGGATGGGAAAGGTGAGGCCACTCGATCGTTGAAGTAGGAAGGCGCTTGAAGTAGATTGGAATCTGGGAATCCAAAAACAACTACTTTCAACGACCGATGGGTACTCGCCCGATGGGTACTCAGGATGATGATGATGATGATGATGATGATGATGAGGAGGAGGAGGAGGAGGAGGAGGAGGAGGAGGAGGAGGAGGAGGAGGAGGAGGAGGGGGAGGAGGGAGGAGGAGGAGGAGGAGGAGGAGGAAGAGGAGGAGGAAGGAGGAGGAGGAGGAGGAGGAAGAAGCCTGCCAACCCCGTCCCACAAATCAGAGCGCGGGGAGGAAGGCAATTATTTCGCCGGCCCAACGGGCCAGAGGAGTGCTAAGATCTCGGGTCACTGGTTTTCAACATTTCTAGTTCGCGCGCGCGGGGCGGCCCCTGGGGGTCCCCGGGCGAAAAGTACCCCGGGCAAGTCCTCGGAGGAGACCCCAGACTGGGCAATTTTTCGACACCCCTCACGAGGATTGTGGCTTCCGAGGGGGGATCCGCAATCGACTGCCCCACCTCCCGCCCCAAGAGGCCCGCCCCAAGAGACTCCCAAGAGGTCCCCAAGAGGCCCCCAAGAGGCCCTAAAGAGGGCTTCAGGGCCGGCGGAATGAGCGAAGCGAGGCCACACAACAAACTCGGGTAGCTTTTTTTCCCGCTGGATATCCCTCTTCGGTTTCGACCGCCTCTTGGGGCCCTCTTGGACACATTTTCTAATATGTTTCGGGTCTCTGGCGCTGTCGTGCCCCCCCCCATCCCACGAAGTCCACGATCCAAAAAGGGTGGGGCGGCGGTGTATGCCCCCTCAGGGGCGTTCAATTACGTAAATAAGCTCACAAAAGAGAAGCTCCCCCCAGTTCTCAAATAATGGCCTGCGGGGGACCTGTGAGCCCAGGTCGGTTCCCCTTGGTGAGCAAGGATCGAGGACCGCAGATCGCAGCCGCTCGCGCGAGGAGGAGGAGGAGGAGGAGGGGGAGGAGGAAGGAGGAGGAGGAAAAGGAAAAGGAAGGAGGAGGAGGAGGGGGGGGGAGGAGGAGGAGGAGGAGGTTCTTACCCGCCAGAAGGGGCAAGAGGCGGCTCCTGCTCTCCAAGCGCGGCGCGATGTCGCCTGCACGTGGCAGGCCCTCTGGGCGCCCGACTGGCGCGGGGGGACGGGGGGGGCGCTTCTCTCTGGCGTGCAGGAGAGCCTGTGGGGACCAGTGCCGGGGAGCGCGCAGACGTGGAGGAAAAGGAGGAGGAGGAGGAAAAGGAAAAGGAGGAGGAGGAGGAGGAGGAGGAGGAGGAGGAGGAAAAGGAAGAGGAAAAGGAAAAGGAAAAGGAAAAGGAGGAGGCGGTTCTTACTCGCCAGGAGGGGCAGGAGGCGGCAAGTGCCGGGGGGCGCGCAGACGTGGACCGGCGGTCCTGTGCCTGCACCTCCCCAGAAGTTCGGAGAGGCCCCGGCGAGACCTTCGGGGGCTCCCCAGGGCATTCACCCCCTTCAGTATGCTTCGGGGATGGACAGGCCCCCTTTAGCAGAGCGTGGTTGAGTGAAAACGACCTGAGGCCCAGACCTGGCGGGCGCAAGCCTGGAAAATAACGGCCACGGCGCCCTCTCGAGAACCGAAAACGGACAATTCACGAATCGACGCGTCAGGGTAGAGAAGGGGGGAGGAGGAGGAGGAGGAGGAGGAAGGAGGAGGAGGAGGAGGAGGAGGAGGAGGAGGAGGAGAGGAGGAGGAGGAGGAGAGGAGGAGGAGAGGAGGAGGAGGAGGAGGGGGAGGAGGAGGAGGAGGAGGCAGGAGGAGGAGGAGGAGCGGGGAGGAGGAGGACAATTCACTAATCGACGTGTCCCTGTGAGGGGTTCTGCCCACCCGCCGCCTCGGCAAGCGGCGCTGGCGCCCAGCCAATCTGCCGTCGCATGCGGCGGTCCCCTCCTCCTCCCTCCTCCTCCTCTCTTCCTCCTCCTCCCCCTCCTCCCCCTCCTCCTCCTCTTCCTCCTCCTCCTCTTCCTCCTCCTCTTCCTCCTCCTCCTCTTCCTCCTCTTCCTCCTCAGGCGGGGACCAGCCCTCTATCGGGGGCGCGCAGACATGGATTGGCGATCCATGGATTTGGCGCGCGGTCGCAAAATCCATGGATCGGGGGAGGTGCCCTCCCCAAAATGCGGCCGGTGCCGCCTCGCTCGGCGGCGGAAAGCCGCGATTTCCCATGGAAACGGGACCCGTCGCTAATCCACGCCCCCTTGATCCATGTTTGCGATCCCCTGAAATGAGGAGGGGACTTGAGACGGCAGGGTGAATTGCAGAATCGTTGATGCATCCTGGGTTCAAAAAACTGTTCAAAACAATCCAGTTTTGAATTTGCTTTCAATGAGAATTTCTGAGGCCTCCAGATGGCCCCACGATCGCCCAAAATAGATCCGAGTGAAGCCCAGAAGGCCTACAAAAGGGCTCTGA